CGGTATAAAAAGTATATGCATGTATCAAACAGCCTGTAAATACATCTAAATAATATTTATTCTATGCCATACATATGAATAGGGAAGATTTCAAGTTCACCTGTGTGCACTGTTGCCATGAATACGTACATTGTTAGCCTTTATTGTAGTCTTTTTAATGTCCATGCTAATAAATTTTTTACTTCCCTTATAGTAATAATGTTACAATACATGGTTGGTTGCGTCTCCTGGTTACTCACTGTCAGAAGATTAAAAAGATTTTCTTGACCGCTCTAAGGTAATGCCAAAATTTATACAGTAAAGCTCTAATATTTTCTGAAAGTGGGCATAATACTTTATTGTAACGATATATTGATTGGTAAATTGAAGCTAATTATTTCCATGTTTGCTGACTCATGTTTCAATATTGCTATACTCCATGTAAGTCATTAGTCTCCCTCACAGCCGTTCTTTGTGTCTAGGTTTCTCCTCACGAACGGCTGCTCACTCGAGCACAACATTCCATTCCCTTTGTCTTACGTTAGCCAATCAGATTTAGCGACATAAATATCTAAATAAATTTAGCGACATAAATATCTTAATAAGTCCAAGGTCATGTTTCCGAAATTTAGAAACATTACTGTGATTGGTTGTTTTCAGGAAAGGAATGTTGTGCTCGAGTGAGCAGCCGCTCGTGAGGAGAAACCTCGACACAAAGAGCGGCTGGGAGGGAGACTAGTAAGTCATCTGTGTTTTTTTTTTATAGAACTGTATCTGACGATGATCTCATTGCCATTTTTGAAAACTGTACTTTCTTAGAACAACTCGACATTCTTGGAAACTCGAATATTTCAAAGAAATCTGCAGACACGTAAGCTTTATATGTTATATTTTACAAAAGGTATTTTAGGATTAGGTAATCATGCAACCGCCAATTAAACACTACATAGTTGTACCATATTTCAATTGGATCCTATATTGGAGAAGGTGTGATTTTCCGTATTCTATGCAGCTAATTCAGCACAAGATTGCCCTATCCACAGTGCCCTATCCAAAGCAAAACTCAAAACCGCAAAATCTCGATCCAAGGCGGGGAAAGCACAATCACATCATGTAATCAATGCGGGCATGGAAGTTGTGTTTTGCAAAATGCTATTAGTAAAGAGACATCAGTGAGCTCTCTCTCTCTATATATATACATACAGTATATATATCTGGAGCAAAAACTCTCGAGTCCAAAAAGTGATCCCAAGATGGTGGAAATTGAAGAGCTATGCAGTTCCAGTCCCTTTCTATTGTTTTTGCGTGCGCGGTTAAAACGAAGCTGGAATGGAGTGTACCGAAATTTCGTATTTTGTCATCGATTTAAAGAATAACGCTGCGGTTTTATTAGCTGGGAAAATGGTAGTAAAACTGTTTACGACCTTCATAGCTATTGGACGTCAATTTCAGCCATCTTGGCTTCACTTTTCGCATAGGCCGAATGACTGAAATGCTTGCTCCAGAACTATAGAGCTCACCTTTGAACTCTAAGGGAACTGTTTAAGGTTCCCTTAGAGTTCAATAGAGCCCACTGAGAGACATAACTTTTCTGGTTGCGCATGCGAGTTTTGATGTTCAGAGGACAGCGTTAATTGAATTAGCTGCATGTATACTGTGAATCCTCCTATGGAATCATCCCTGTACGTAGGAAATCTAACACTGATGTCATTTCCTATTAGAAAATTTGCATGCTTTCTATGCAGGCGAGCCTAACATATCAAATATCTTCTAAATTGTTAGAGGAGATATAAAGGGACCCATGCAAAAAATCATCACTCAACGAACATTTACCCAACGAAGGGGCTAGAACTAGGCCATGTATTGTTTTTTCTTCCAAGGGATCGCTGTGAGTAAAAATTTGCATTATTAAAATGTCTATTGAACAATGTTTATAACTTCTTTGTACGGGTTTGCATGTGATAAAATGTAATGATTTTGGTTTGTGATAACAAAAAAATGGTAAAATTTTCTGGATCGTCATAAATTTGATACTCCAGAACTACGAATGCAACTGTAAGGCACTTTCTTAGCTACTTGAGACACTCTCATTCATCATCGGTGGACATAGATAACCAGTAGCTTGTTTTGCCGGAGTTCAGTATGACCTGCCATAAGCTATTACAGTATGACCTGCCATAAGCTATTACAGTATGACCTCATTCTCGTACCCAGAGCCCTTCTTACGCGCGGTGCGACGAGGCGCTCTGGCCAAATCCATAACCGGATACCATAAAAACATGGTAAGAAAACAATATCCGGTGTTAGAACTAGCCAATCAGATGCCAGTTTGGATATGGATTTGGCCAGAGCCCCTCGTCGCACCGCGCGTAAGAAGGGCTCTGGGTACGAGAATGAGTATGACCTGCCATAAGCTATTACAGTATGACCTGGGCATATCAGAGGCTTACGTATCCAACGACATAACTTTATAGTACGATTCCGTTGTCACTTCTCCCGCAGTTTGGTTTTTAGGAGAATTCTTGTAAAACAGTTATTTAATTTTTTTCAGGGTCCTTATGGAATGCAAGCATCTCAAGTTTTTTGATGTGTCGTTCTGTTCTGATCTGGATGATGAGTGGTATCGTGGGGCTAAACAACGTTACCCACACGTGGATTTAAAGAAGAGTGTTCAATATGTTCAACCTCGAGATTAAGAACAATTTGACGTTAGGTAAATCCTTCGTTGAAAACTCTCCAACTAAGGTCTTGATAACGAGGCTCTATATATATAGAGTATATACCATTGGTATATCCTTTCCAGAAGAGTGTATTTACCTCGCGTATACAGCTAACCGTGGTGATTAGGAATCTTTTTTATAATTAACTAATTAATTAGCAAACGCTATGTCTATGATTTTATAAAAAATAAGGTGTTGAGTTACTAGCTCTTAACCGTATTGGATATAGACATATATTAAATTATATATGTAATGTAAGGAATGTAAGAAATTATTTTATTCATATTTAAATGTAAATGGGATTGTTTTGGGGAATATGTGTATAATATGTGAAAATTTTCAAATAATATATATATTGTCTTGCATGCACTTTCCTGCTTTACAGGTCGAAACTTGATCATTATTCCATTATTATTATTATAGATTATTCTGCTTACTCCTCATTGGTGGTTTCAATTACCGATTATACATCAAGTATTATATATACGCTTAATACTTAGTCTGGAAAGGCTAAACAGAAGTCATTGACATTGTGTCATGTTTTTGTCTGAGTTTATGTTAATTTGTAATTTGTTTATGTTCATTTGGTCTGGGCGGCTGTATAAACTATATGTCGACATAAATAATACATTGTCCGATTGTCGATTTATCTCTGCAATCAGTAAAGTCTAAACTACTGATTTGCATTCAACACACAAAAGACAAGATAGATCCAAATTATTTCACATCAGTGACCATGACTTAATCGCAACAATTACAACCAAATGGAAACCATCGTACGTAGTTGAAATTAAAAAGTACGTATGTTGTTATAACCAGTTTTTAAACTTTTGTTTAGTAGTTGGTATTGTTTTTTAAAATGTTCAAAATCTTCGACTTATCGAAAGTCGAACTGTACCGATTTGAAACTTGATTTTTTAAATCAGTGCTGGACTAGAATGTTTATATGTCACTGTAATATTTATTTATGTAATACCGGTAGTTAATAATATCAAGACTTCCTTATAGAATTAAAAAACAACCAAATTATTTCTAAGTGCGAACTGTATGACTGAACAGATTTCGTTGCAACTAATAAAAATACTAATTTAAATAGTTATTGGCAAAAACTGCCAAACAATTGAAACAGCAAATATATATAATATAATTAATGGTAAATGAATATTTCGTGAAGCCTTCAAGGTTGAATATTACCTTAAATTCAAGCTTATATATAGAGTGAGAAATAACATATACCTACTTTATATATTTGAGAAAATGGATAGTTCGAGAGTTAAATTTCATTAATATTTTTTTTGAAAGATCGCGTGCATTCGTGTTGAATCCGTGGGTTAAGAGCCTTATAGGGTCATCAGTCAGTCAGTTTTAAATCTTTATTGCCTCCAATTTCTGAAGAGTAGGTATATTTACAAAGGAAGTATTAATAATAAAATAAAGATAGTGAAAAAACTAACTATTGTTACCTAACTAGCTAACTAAATTACTCCTATAACAAAAGGAAACATAACTTGCAGATTTCAGCAATAGCTCCGTCCATATGTCTGTGTTTGCACATAATACTTCTAACTTTTTACCTAATATAACTAAGAGAAATTCCATGTCTGTCAAACTTGCTAAATGTACTGCCATTTCGATTGGCATAGTATCGTTTATCCATTCCCATAGTTCTTCTCTTAATTGGCTTGTGCCATTACAATAAAGTAATGCATGCTTTACAGGATTTAAGAAATTGCTATTACAAACATTACAATAGTCTCTATAAGTTTCTGGTTTGTTCACCCGTTTTCCTTTAATTTTGTAAGATCCACAGAGTAGTCTTAGAACATCATTAATTTCTTTCATAAAGTCCGGTTTCATTCTAGCTAATAACCACCATGGTGAGATTTCATTCACAGGATGAACTTCTGCATAAAGTTTTAGTTGACCATGCGTACTTATTTTTTCTTGCCAGATATTGTTATAGTACTCGTATATATGTTTTTTAACAATTTTCTTCCATGCAGATTTGCTTGGAAATTGATCGGATAAAATATACCCTGTTAAAAAGTCCATGAGATCATATTTCAAAAGAATTCGTACAATATTTGGAATGAATCCTTTTAAGGTGTTTGTATGGTTCCACTTCCAACGTATTAATCTCATGAGGAAGATCTTTCTGCACGGAACACCATGAC